ACGAGAGCAAAGCAGAAGCAGCAGTGTTTATCCAACGGCATCAAGTATCGTGGCGTACGACAGAGGCCTTGGGGGAGATGGGCGGCCGAGATCAGAGACCCTACGACTCGAACCAGGGTCTGGCTCGGTACTTATGACATTGCCGAGGAAGCTGCTTTGGAGTATGATCGACACGCGATTCGAATGAAAGGCCCTGATGCTCTCACAAACTTTGTGAAACCTCCGGTGAGACCTTCTACACCGGAGGTTGATCTCGAAATGAATTCCGGGTATGACTCGGCTCAAGACTCCCAATCCCGCCGTTCACCTACATCAGTTCTCAGATTCCAGTCCAACAAAGAAGCTCAACTCCAAACGGACTCAAAAGATGACTCTTTGGACGACATCGAAAGTCGGTGGAAACCCCTTGACGAACTCCAAATAGAACACGGTAACTTATCAGATGAATATTTGTTACTAGATCCGGGTGTTTTATGTGATCACTTCAATGCTGATAATCTCGAAACTATATTGTTTGATGAAATGAGGTTCCCAGATGACCGTTTGGAACTTGATTATGCTGATATTTCTGTAAAATTTGATGTTGACTTCGGGTCTTGTACGTGGGATGTCGATAATTATTATTAAAATCAGCGTAATTCTGACTATGTACAACGCTGAAGTCTTGGAATTATCTGGTAAATACATGGTAAATTCCGAGTGGGATTTTGGATACATTTTTTCAGTTTTCTTTTAGTGTGCAAGGGAATGAGAAGAAATATGTAAATTCTTGGGTTCTTTCTTGTGCATGACTTATCTTCTTTTTTTAATTGAGTCAGTTCGGTGTGCGTTTCATTTGGCGTGGTCCTTTAGTCGTGTGCTTCGCGGTTATGGCTTTTGTTAGGGGGGAAAATATTTTGTGTATTTGAAGGGAGTCGGTGAGATATTTTCCTTCATTATATCATATTTAATATGGGCATTGGAAAAGGGTTCCAAGTTTAAGCTAATGTTGGGGGCTAGCTACCATGGTCGATAGTCATCACCTTAGCCACTCGTTAGCCTTGAAATCTTTTTAGTTTCTGGGTTTTATTACAAAATATGGAGCCATTCTTTTCAAGCAATGGCTTCCAATTCACGGCGTCACGTGCTCCCCTGTTTGGTTTTCCTAGTGTGGATCTTTTAATAGCCCCCTCGATAAACAGGGGGGAAAAATAATGACACTGTCGGAAATCTTACACTTCGATAGCCCAAAAACAGTGCTCGTTAGTTACTTTCACTCCCGGTTCTCGTGGTCTAAATTTCATTGTCACGGCTAAAATTATGCTATCATTAATGAATGAATACGATCTCATATGAAATTAGTGAAGACAGAGCACACGTTTTGTTCCATATTAAGAGGCATTTCAAAGTTATCGTACCGTTTACGGGATGGATTTTTCGCCTTTATAGCTTCAAACCTTAAATCAGTGAGTTTGATTGAATAGGACAATTCATTTAGACACTAGAGGACCCCGGTGCGTTGGAAAGGATCGTGATTTCTGCCCATCATTGCATTGCATGAATCTTGATCTGCTATTCTTGTTGCTTCTGGTTTACATTACATATGGTAACAAAAACAAACCAGTGCATCGTTTCTTTGCGTGCCTTTGAGGGCCTTGGCCCCTGAATCTCTTTAACACATGTAAGGCGCTTGGATGATGATTCCTTGGCTGAAACAGGTGAAGTTCCAACTGCATCTCGAACAACAAAATGAAGCGGCCGCTAAGGGGCATCAAGGTAGAAACAAGAAAAACAAGCGGATAATTTTGCTATTCCACACACCCTAATCCTGCAGGGTTTGCAAGCAACGTGAAAAGGAGGGACCGGCGTAGAAAATGGAGGTAAGCGGCGGCGCGTGATATGACTGGGGTGCCTGCCAGAAAGTGAGAAAAAATTAGGTCCTTGGCATAACGGAATCATGGGGTTTAATATTTATAGACAAGGAAGTAGTGTTAGGATCGGAATAGGATACATAATCGTATTATTTATCTACGGTAAATTACATGAATAGTCACTTCACAATGGGGTATGTTTTATTTAGACTACTAAACTACTTTTTCTAATCAAATTTATTAACTATTTTTTAAATTACTTAACTATTTAAATGATATCGGTTAAGCCATTTACATTTAACAAGAACAAACAATTAAATAAATTTTTATAATTAAACATTTGATTATCATTATTTATATATTTTATCAATTTAGTCTCATTTTTTATTTAATTTAATAAGTTTTTTCATCCAACCATTTTCAAAGTGTGTCATCGTTTAATTTGATGAAAAATTATAAAATCAAAGTGAGAACGAGAGGATTTGAACATGAGGAAGTTGGGTTTAATAGCTTGATTTAAGGTTGACAACATATTCTATTAAACGTTATCTTATTTATAAAAATTAAAGGAAATAATAATGCGATTGAAGGGATTTGAATCCATATCTTCAAAGTATATAATAAAGTGAATTACAAATTAGCTAAGTCCAAGACTTATGCAAAATTGATAATATATTATATATATGTTAAATCATAAACTACTAATATAATAATTTAATAATATATTCTTAAAGTAAAAAAGAAATATATATTTTAAAGTTAGAGTATGAATTTAAATTAAGATATAAGAATATTATCAGTTATAATTTAAATAGTAAATTTGAGTCTTTTTCTCATCTTTATTATATTTATTTATCAACGTTAAGATGCAGCATAAGATATACCCTAAATATTTTCAATTATAAACCATCTTATTAGAGAATTAATTTATTGTATTAAATTAAAATTAAGATTAAATTTATAAAATATGTAAATAGGTGTTCACTAACTCACCACCAAATCAAATCTCCTCATTGTGAATAGGTATCCAGTGCGGATGAAGCGTGTACCACACAAGGATCATTAGAGCGTGAGACAAGTTTTTATTTTCGAAGGACCAAACTTACTCTGAGTTCGACCGAGTATTCTATTGAATAAAAAATTTATTAATATTAATTGAGTCGATAAATCTTGTTTTATCATTTAAATTTTATTTTTTATAATTAAATTTTTTAAATTTAATTATAATTATTTATAACAATACGATACATATTGATTCAAATTTGAATGATTTTTTAATCATATAAGATATATATTAATATTTTTTTCACATGATAAGTAAGATTTATAGTATTTTAATAAATTAAATATCACCTAAAATTATAGAATATATTTATAACATTATTTTCTAAATGAAAGAATTTTGAGAGAAAACTATTGACGAGACTATAACAAAGTAAAAGAATTGATTAGAATAAAAAGCTATAAAAATTTATGATCGAAAGAATAAAGTGAAAATAAAAAACTAAAGGACTAAATTTAAAAAGGAAAAAATTATTGCTAAAATAAAATTATATGTGTGTGTGTTGATAGAGGAGTAATGTGATTATATAAAATTGTAATTGTACGATTAAATTAAAAAATATATTATTAAAAATAAGAATCGAAACTATATAAATATTCTATAATGTTTAAGAATGTTAGTAAATTTGACAGAAAAATGACTTAAAACAAACAATTAAGAAAAAAAAGATTAATAATAAGATAATCAAATTATTTAATTAAAGATTAAAGTAATATTATTTTTAATTATTTAAATTTTATAAATTACAACTCTACTTAAACTCCAACCTAAAAGGCCATACTCAAAATTCAAATTAATTTAAATAACTTAATACAAATAACTTAAAGTTTTAAAAGTATAATTTTTAATCTAATTGAATTCTACTTACCAACAGAGGGACAGGAAACTCGTAATTAAGAAGGAAATGCGACGAGTCGTTTGATATCTGCAGTGGTGATCGGAATCTTTGATTTTGTAATTATCTCTATTCTCTAATCCATTTAAGGGAAAACTACGTATTTAATTTAAACTATTAGTTTTGATCCATTTTAGTACTTAAATTTTTAATTTCTTCAAAATTATATCTAATGTTTATTTTTTGTTTTATTTTAAAACCTTACCATTAAAAACTTAACGTTGATATAGATTTTTTTTTAATTATTATATTATTATTTATATTATTTTTTAATTAATTTCATTCACTAATAAGGTCGTGACACATGTCACTACCTTATTAGAAATAAAATAAACATAAACTCCCAAGGGAGAGGTTACTGCTTAGCAGGAATCGGACCTGGATCTCTTGGGAAAAGGAGAAGTGCTCAACCGTATGAGCTAGCACAATAATTGGATCTAAATGTCAAACTATATATTTAACTTATAATAAACTATCACTATAAAATGAAAGAAATTTGTTAAATCTATGATTCCAACTTGGAACATCTCACAAAATATTCAAGCATTTAATTACCAAATAAGATTAAGAATTAATTTAATACATACAAAAATTATTTTTTAACTTATAAAAAAATAAATTTAAATTAAATAATTTATCAATTTATTTTAAAATGAAAATAATTAAATAATCATAGTTGGGCATGGAAGAAAATTTTGAGTTTGTAGGATGACTATACTCTTGTGAGTGGTTTGGATAGGAGCTTTCATACAAAGAAGGTTTGGGAAGTGATTTGGTATAAGCAAGATAAGATTCCTTGGTGCATGATTATCTGGATTGGTATGTTTAGCCCTATATACTCGTTCATTTCGTGGCTGACTCTTCTTGATCACTTGCGAATAAAGGTTTGCATGCTCCGTTGGGGTCATATTGATCCCTCTTGCATTCTTTGTGGTTATAGTTTGAAAGTATGGACCATTTGTTTGTTGAATGTAACTTTGCTAGGCAGATTTGGTCTAGTATTTTACAAACCTATCATGTTAGTTGGCTTGGGGTTTGTTGGAGTGATATGGTGATTTGAGTTATAGCGCATGATAAAGGAAAAACTTTATTAGGGACCACCATTGCGGTTGCTTGGTGTTGTTATATTTATCATATTTAGCAGAAGAGGAACGGTAGATTGCATGGAGTTAGTCTTAGAGAAATTGAGGGTATGGTTTCACTGATAAAGAATACTGATACGTTAAGGTTAAAGGAGCGTATTCTGGGCAGGTGTTCGGTGCTTGCTGCTGCATGGAATCTGTTATAGGATTTTTTTTTCTTTTCATTCTTTATTATGGTGTTTATAGGCGAGGTATTTTGTTTTTATAAGTTGACTTGTACATGGAGGTTTTATGTTGGATGAGGTGTTTTTTTTAAATTGACTTGTACAGAGAGGTTCTTTTTAGATGAATAAAATTCAACATTTATTCAGAAAAAAGAAAAATAATTAAATAATTATTTATATATGTAAAATCAATATTAATTGAATAAAACTAATTAAAAATAATATAAATAATAATATATATATATTTTTTTAAAAAGTCACTTCAGCTCTGCCGTTAAGATTTTAACAACGAGTACTAAAATGAAACAAAAACTAAACGTTGGACATAATTTTCAAAATTTTAAAGTTTAGATAATAAAACGAACCAAAACTGATAGTTTAGGTCCTAAATTCGTAATTACCCTTATATTGATTGTTAAAAAAATTATAATTTAACAATTTTTAATAGTAGTTAATTAAAAGAAAAACAAAAACGGAAATTAAACTTCTAATAAAGTAGAGAGATATTCAAGATACTCCTATAAAACAGCGATTCTTGCGGTTTTGACTCTCCTTAGCAACAGAAACTCTTCTGTTTATCTCTGGTCTCTCGCTCTTTACTCTCCAACAATTTGCTTTCAGAATATTGTTTATTTACAGATTTTTGTATCTTCTTTGTTTTTGTTTTTTTTTTAAATCCACTTTCGAAGATCTTGTTTTGGAGATGAAGCCAGGGAGTTTGCTCCCGGTGAAATATACAGAGCAAAAAACTGTAACTAGCAAACTGGTGAAGCCGTCGAGCAAGTGGTTTCCGACGGAATCCAAAGCTAAAGCCCCTAAAATTGTGAGGATTTGTGTCACTGATGGGGATGCCACGGATTCTTCTAGCGACGAATGTGAAGGGGCGAGGCATCAGAGGGTGAAAAGGCATGTAAACGAAATCAGGATCGAGGATTGTTCCGCTGTCAATTCCTCCAGGCCAGTGAACAAACAAAACAGGCAAATATTTAGTAAAAGCATTCAGGTAAATATGAGATCAAAGAAGCAGCAGCAGTGTTTATCCAACGGTGTCAAGTATCGTGGTGTTCGACAAAGGCCGTGGGGGAGATGGGCTGCCGAGATCAGAGACCCTACGACTCGAACCAGGGTCTGGCTCGGTACTTATGACACTGCTGAGGAAGCTGCTTTGGAGTATGACCGAGCCGCGGTTCGAATCAAAGGCCCTGATGCTCCCACAAACTTTCCGAGACATTCTCCAACGGAGATTGATCTCGAAATGATTTCCGGGTATGACTCGGCTCAAGACTCCCAGTCTCTTTGCTCACCTACATCAGTTCTCAGATTCCACTCCAACGAAGAAGCTCAACTCCGAAAGGATTCCAAAGATGACTCCTCGGAGCGCATCGAAATCCAGTGGAAACCCCTTGACGAACTCCAAATAGGACAAAATAACTTATCAGATGAGTATTTGTTAGCAGATCCGGGTGTTTTATGTGATCACTTCAATGCTGATAATCTCCAACCTATATTGTTTGATGAAACAAGGTTACCAGAAGACCATTTGGAACTCGATTTTACTGATATTTCTCTAAAATTAGACGTCAATTTCGAGTCTTGTACGTGGGATGTCGACAATTACTATTAAAATCACTGTAATTCCTCCTGGACACAACGCGAACTCCTGCAATGATCTACATGGTAAATTCCGAGTGGAATTTTGGATACATATTTCCAGTTTTCTTTTAGTGGGCGTGTTTCTCTAGTACAGTGTGTAAAGAAACGCTAAGAAAACATGTAAATTCTTGGTTCTTTTTTGTGCATGGCTTATCTTCTCTTTTTAATTGAATCGGTTCGGTGTGCGGTTCCTTTGGCGTGGTCGTTTTGTTGTGTGCTTAGCGGTTACGGCTTTTGTTCAAAATCAATTCTTTACTTTAGATATTTTTTTCTTGTCTGTGCTACTGATGGGGGTCGGTGAGATATTTTTTTATTTTATTTTCCTTCATATTTAATTTCGGGCATTGGAAAAGGCTGCCGAGTATAAGCTAAGGTTGGGGACCATGTTCAACGGTTCGCCACCTTAGCCATAAAATCTATTTTGTTTCTGGGTTCTATTACAAAACATGGAGCCATTCTTTTTAAGCAGTGGCTTTCAATCCCGTGTCACATGTTCCCCTGTTTGGCTTTCCTTGTGCCAATGCTTTAAAAGCCACCTCAATCAAACAAGGAAAAAAAATTATGACCCTTTTTTAAAATCCCACACTTTGATAGCCTAAAAACAGTGCTCCTTAGTTACTTTCACTTCCCGGTTCTCGTGCCCTAAATTTCACTGTCACGATTAAAATTATGCTATCATGACTGAATGGTGAAATTAGTGAAGACGGCAGGAGCACACGTTTTGTGAAAACATGACCCCGGGCCGGTCAAACGCTGCAAATGTAACTCCTGAGCCACTCATGCATCCATTCTTAATTAACGGATAAAAATGATTCCTATATATATGCATGTATTACCAAATTAAGACCTATTTTGGCATTTGGCTTTTGTAGGCTACATATTTGTCTGGTAACTTAAATTAGGAGACCCTAAAACTACTCCAATTCAACTCCGTTTATTGTGTGATGGACAGCTTTTACTGTGAGGAAGAAACTTAACCATTTTGAATACATTTGACGCCGCTAGAACAAACTCTTTCTACGAAATTTCACATCATCACAAAGGTTGTTGAATTTGTGGAATGATTTGAGACGATTTTGGATTGGTATCAAAACACAGCAAAACAAGATAAGTACATGGTCTGTACTTCCATCTCTTTTCACTGTCACCATGAAACTCGACTACTGCTTGAAACAGTATCACTGGTTAACGTTTAAGCATTATTCATTGTAGAGTTGAAGTGTTAAAGGCTTGCAACTTGAAAATAATAAAAGGGGGTTTGGTCATTGGTGTTATAGCCTACAACAAGAAGTTGTAGCTTCGTGTCGGCTTCAGATGACCTACCTCTGATTCTATCTGTCTATGTTTCATTCGACGACCCGTAGCACAGCACCACCAGTCGTCAGAATTCAATTCGGCAATAACTAATATTAATAAAGAGATGGGGTGAGAAATGAGAATACTCGGTCATGGTGGAGCCAAGCAGGCCATATACATGCAATATCCAAGGCAAAGTTGTTGATTTTAACCAGCTACCTCAGCTACTTCCTTCCTGGTGTTAAATATGTTAAAAAGGCTTACTACCCTAGTCTTTAGTGTGTAATAAATTACCGAACATAAAAGAAAAATCTGAATTTTAAAAATTTTATTACTAAAATAATATTTATATTTTTGAAAAAATAACAGCTCTCGGAAAAGTTAAAGGGAGGAATTTTAGTACATCGAGATTATACCTGGAGACTGATTATGGAGGTCTTTTTGACTCATCTGATCACGTGAATGACACGTGGTTTTAGCCCTTTCAGTCCCAATCTTACTGGGCTTGAATCCACCTGAACATTTGCTCAGAGAAAAACAGGTTGGCCCACAAAATCTCTGTTGCATCACATGGGCAAAAAGAAAAAAGAAAAATTGCGGTGAGGTCAAAGGAAATGTAGCATGCTACGATTACTATTTAAAAAGTGCAGGTCGTATTAAATCTCAGCCACTCATCCCGTTGAAAGGTTAAACCAAAGAAGTAGGACCCATCCTTGAAGTTACGTGGGATTGGTTTTAATGCTAGTTGCCAATCCTGTGGGTCCCACATTTATTTTTCTTATTTTATTAACATTTATTTATTATTGTAACACAATATGTGGAAAATTTAAGGTTAAGGGAACTCGAGCGTATTGATATTGATAGGTTCTTGAGCATGAACCCCAAATCATAACCTGCCTTTTTAAATGATGGTTTAGGGTTCTTTTTTATTTCCGTTAATCTGGACGGCTGACCAATGGAATCACATACATGCAAACAAGATGTCAATAGCAGCTGTATAATTATATGGATTAAGATTATATTTGTAAAATATAAATTTAAGTAATATATTATTTAAAAATTATATCAAACCTTAGGTTGTAACGGGGTTATTAGATTTGGTCACTGTGGATGCGCTTTAGGGCCAGTCTAATGGTGAAACTGAGTATGTTTTTTCTGGGGTAAATTATCTTCAGCATCATTAAACTGCAGACGAGATTCTATCTTTAATAATTTATTTGATAATTTTGAGTTGTGATAATCATATATTCTTTTAACTAAAAACTATTTGATTTCTCATAGTGGTTAATGTTAATCTAAGTTCAATCTCCAACCTAATCCATATTTTAGTATAAAATCTTACATCTACTAGCGTTTAAAGTTTCAGATTTGGTTCTTCACAAATCTAATTTATATATTTTTTAATTTTCATTAATAAGACGATGACATGCATCACCATTTTATTGAATGTGTTATTATCCTAATAAAAATCAAGTCATGTCATCAATTAAGTTAGTGACTAACAACAACTTGAGGATAGATGGCTCGATTGAAATCAAATCAAAAGTTTAGTAATTTAATTGGCAAAATTCTTAGTTTATCGGTCAAAATAGAATTTTGACCATAGTTTAGTGACCTAAAAGGTGATTTTCCCTTTTTCTATGTTCTTTTGCTTCTGCAAAGAGCCAGACCACTGTACATTAATTCAGTACCAATTGATCCCAGCACATCACAATCATGTGTTCAATTTTTCTTCTTCTTTTATTTGAAGAAAATCATAATCATGGATTAAAATCGTGTATGATGAGTGATAATGGCACGCCATTTGAATTCCTTGGGGTTCAATGGGATGCCATTATGGTACATACATGGTCCATTAGGGATGGGTTTGATGAGACGGAGCAGCATAATTATGCCAATATATGACTTGAAAATGCAATGCAGGGCAAGACATACATACATTACATAATTGACACAGTGGGGCACGACCAGCTAGCTTCTCAGTTCCAAGCACAAACTTTCCCTTTAAACCAAACAGGACACCCATGAAATGATTCTGTCCAACCAAGAAACCATTAAAAAGTAGATCCCTGAGCCCTACCTTCCATTCTTTAATGCTCCGTATTGTTCCACAAGCTTTCACTGAAGGAAGTTTAGAGGTTGCTTTCGCATCTGCAGAAGGGTTTCCAGTTTTCCCATTTGTTGCACTATCGTTTTATTAATGGCGGAATGCTGTTGGAATTGCAGTAAAATTAATTCTGATATCATCCAGCCTTTCATACACATTTCAACTTTATCATGCCGACCAACAGTATTATATTTGTACTAATTCCACCGCAAGTTTTGTTTCAGACAATCAAGATGTGTTCATAGTGAGATATTGAATGTTAGGATTCAAGTTTATCTCATATTTTAAACAGACACAAATTGATATTTAAATTTATTTTCCAAGACTTACATTAAACATTCACGCCTTAAGCATATAACCCGATCCGCATACCTAAATTCCAAAGAAACAGAAAAAATGACTTTGGTAACTCAAAAATGCCTCCGGAGGTCATTTGTGGCAGGAGATCTAACTGAGCCGCGTTATTAATGATCAATACACAACATGCGGGGGAGTAACAAGATCTAACGATGGGGAATGGATAATTGGTTTTGCTAAAGCTGTAGGGATCGGCTCGGTGATTGAAGCGGAACTTTGGGGAATTTTCGAGGGATTAACACATTCATGGAAACTAGGTGTTAAAAAGGTATTACTGGAAACCGACAGTGCAGAAGTTTTTAAACTATGCTCAGAAAACATACGAGTGGTGTCGTCACCGACCATTTTGCAATATATAAGAGAATTGACTAAGAGAAATTGGACAATAACCTTCACGCAAACCCGACGAGAAGTGAATAGAGTAGTTGATGCATTGACAATAATGGTGGACAAAAATAATTTTAAGGGAGCAACTTTCCTCTGACCTATAGGACTAGCAGCCCTAAAGCTCCAAGACGACATTAGGAATATAAGACATCATTGTTTAAGTTAATCTAGTTTTACTCTCCTTCGTTTACCAAAAAAAAAATGGAACTACAACTCAATTTCTTCAGAAATGTTTCGTTTTTCCTTTTAATTTTCTTTTGTCGTGTAATGTAAGTCATGCATGCATTGCATCAATCCATTTATGTACTTGGCTGTTGACATATTGGAATACAAGTCTCAAATTTATATGTTCCGGTTCAGGCTTTCTAGCATCTTTTGGGCTTAATTTGAAATTGGGCAAACTGCAGTTTAATTAATTAATTCAATAAGGTATATATAGTTTATTCAGGGATCTACGACATTTATTACAATAATTTAAATAAAAAATATTTTTTTATTTAAATTTTTTATCTTGATGGAATAAAATTTAATAAAAATATATATTTTATTAAAACTCATCATTTCAATGTGATGAGTTTCTTGAACACTATAACAAATATAGAAGATAAAAAATAAACTTCTATATGCACTGTTCGACTAATTAATATAATAGTTTGCCCTAATATAAGAGAGAGTTTTGAGTTTAGAGAAAGAAGAAGAAGAGGATCAATAGGAGTTAATTCAAATAGTAAATATTTTAATAATAATATCTTAAGTTTAAATCTATGTGTAAGTGGAAAATTTCAGTTAAGATACCGACCCTTGAAATCGGAAGGCAGCCCCAGAAAAAAAAGAGGGGGGGGGGATTGGCCTTAGTCTTTGGGTTGCGCCCTTAATTCCATGCCGCGAATCACATTGCGTAGCCTCCTCTTCTTCAGTCTTCTCCATGCAAATATCTGACTTTCTGTTTTCATTTGATTTTAGTTCACTAATTTTTTTTAAAAAGGA